ACACAAAGCAAACCCTGCTGTAACAGAAGAGCTGTGTGCTTTTAACCACTTTTACTAACATCACTGTGACCATTTCCATCTCTTTTTGCCCTGCGGTACTGCGTGTCTCTCTTCACCCAGTGCATGCACGCTCTAGAAGCTTGCACAGAAACACATCTCGGAAGCTGTGGAAAGGACAGACCCATCTCTGACTGGCATATTGGGGTCCAAGTGCTCCAGAAGCAATAGGTCATATATTTTGAAAACTCTGCACAAGTCCCTCATTTATGACTTCTGAGGCATGCTTTTGGGTCTTTAAATTTGGCAACTATTTTATTACCACTACTAGGCACTGATCTGCCATTTTACACTGGTTTACTGCTCTTTGAAGTGCTATGGATCACTATCTGTGATCAGCAAAAGTGAAGCTGCGGCAGACATGAATCACATACACAAGCCAACGTACAGGAGGCAGCGACTGCCATGGCTGGCGGGAAAATGGGTGTCTGTAGCTGTGCTTTGTCAAACTGACTGAGAGAGCTGTCTCCCTCAGCAAGAAATGCAGTGGCCAGACCTCCATCTGTGTTCCCGGACTCACTCGATGTACATATCATAACGCTCACGGAAACCATCTGTACCCAGAAGTCACAGCCCAGCAGTGTCGTGGTTTGACCCCAGCCAGCAGCTAAGCACCACACAGCCACTCACTCACTCCCACCTGGTCAGCTGTCCCAGCTGTGTCCCCTCCCAACTTCTTGTGCACCCCCAGCCTGCTCGCTGGTGGGGTGGGGTGAGAAGCAGAAAAGGCCTTGGCTCTGTGTAAGCACTGCTCAGCAACAACAAAAACATCCCTGTGTTATCAGCCTGTTTCCAGCACAAATCCAAAACAGCCCCATACCAGCTACTGTGAAGAAAATGAACTCTATCCCAGCCAAAACCAGCAAAAGCAGCAATGTGATGGGTAATACCTTGTTCTCCCTGAAGTGCTGCAAAGCATTCGCAAAGAAGCCTGTTATCCCTTTTTTTTTTTTTTTGAGCTGGAAACCGAGGCATGCCGAGGTTAAATGAACTGACTAAGGTTGCATAATTAGCCAGTGGCAGAGCTGAGAATAGACTCCATATCCATTTCTCCAGGCCTAAGATCTAACTCTCAGACTTGTCTCAGGGGCATAGGCAGGCTACCAAAGCTGTACATCACAGCTCTATAGAATATGACATTTTTAGAACAGGCTCAACCCTGAACTTACTATAGTTCTAAAAAACAAACAAAAAAAAACAGTAAAAAAAAAAAGGAAAAGAAAAGCAACAATATTTTCTTCTTATGAGAGATTCTGCCTGGGCAAGAGGGTAAAAATGGGATTCAAGTCACATTTATAAATATTAATGGCCTTCTAAGCAGTAGCACATTAAAAAAGTTCCCAAAGACCTAAGCCTGAATTAACTTTGAGTAATAGTCGCTGGAGACCTAGTCAAAAATAAAGCAATGCTGGGAAAAAGTGCTAACCTTTCACAATTGTTTGATAGGGCTGACATGCAGTTATTTTTCCTCCATTTCAAAACTCTTTTAGGAAAACAGTGCTTCTTTCACGCTCCTCCCTCTCCTTCCTCAGTTACTCTCTTTCTACTCATGTTCTGTGTTTGAATGCATTTTTTTTTGCATTTCCATTTTTATTTTGCACTCTATTCACTTGCTGCTGTAGCTGCTGGGAATCGTGATGCAACTTATCCCTTTAGTGACTTAGTGGCCACTGAAAACTCAGCCTGTGAAACACTCTCCTGCCATGAGGGCTCCTGAACTCGGTGAGAAGGTTTGCAGCTGAGGTCATCACGTCCAGGCCACCGCCCGAGACAGCTAGGTAGAGCAACTCTCTTGGGTGTTATCTGCAGCCGCCCTCCACTTAAATGAGACTCCTGGAGAACTGGATCAGATTATCAACAAGCTTATAGAAATATGTTATGGTATTTAGGTGGTGAAGATGGTGATCTGCTTTCACCCTAGGCATTTTTCCCCTTCCAAGAAAGTTCTGTAACGGTGAAACAATATGTTTGATTCCAGGGAATGGTTCAGTTAAGCAAAACCCATAACTTTCTATTCGGTTCTTGAGGGCAGTTCCATAAACCTCTCATTTCAGCCAAGACTCACTCAGAGAGAGGGTCAATTCTTCTAAAATATTTAAGAAGAAAGGTTCATAGCTTTAAAGCGATACGACTTCCCATGCAGTGTAAGTCAGAATCCCTTTTGATGTCAGGGAGAATTAGGCTCTCAGATATCTTGGCTCAGTCACCGAAATGCATTTACAAACCTGGCCTGAGCAGCTTTCGTTAGCCTATTGGCAGGTCTCTGAGCACAGAGAACACGTTGCCCCCCACGTTACAAGTATTTGTTAGCAATGCACCTCTTATGTTCAGTCAGTTATAGTATGGAGCATATTCTAACCACGCCTTGCACTTAGCCAATCCGTCCTCCCTGGAGGCACCTACCATCCCAGCCCAGCCACCATCCAAGTTTTGCAACCTGCAAGTATGGGCCCCGGGGAAAATAGTGCCACTGCCTCCATCAAAACAACAAAATCTTTTCCCTCCATCACAGCCGGCAGAAAGAAGGTCTGTGCCTGCTCCCCCCCTGCACTGCGGCAGCTGCAGCTGTGGTAATGTCCCCTACGAAACAATACCCACAGGCAAGAGGCGGTACGTCTTGTGAGCCGTTTGGAGAGACACCCATGCTGACTGACTCTCCGGCGCCTGCAGACTGACTGGCTGCCTTTGGCCAGGACGGGTTGAGGATCAGCTGAGGCCTCCCAGGTTTCCTTGACATGGCACGCTCTCAGTGTGGTCTTGCGCTCTGTCCTCTCCCTCCTCCTCTCTAGCCCCAACCAAGTCTGCTGCTGTCTTTCACAAAATCCATAGAAATATAATTATCATGGAGCTGTCTGCCTCTAGCGTTTTTTTTCTTTGGAAATAATTGTAATTGGCTGTGGCAGTTAAAAACTTATCGGCATAGACAGATGACAGACAGCACAA